GTCAGCAGACTCGCTGTAAGTCTTGCTTGTTAATTCCGTTGGCTGGGATTGCTGTGGTGTGAGAGTACTCGGATATCAGCGCTCAGAAACGGAAAATCACACCACAGCAATCCCAAGCAACGGAATTAACAAGCGAGACTTGAAGCAAGTCAGTGACAAACCAAACTTAATAAGCAGCTTTGAATTCTTTCTTTTCCGTTTTATTGTTTTGTTTCCTTAATTGGTAATACTTGAATGAATGTAATGATATCATAGTGTATTTCTCAAAGCACAGGGRAAATACAAGTAAATCATCACGTTGATATTTAATATTTAACTTAAAAAATCAAGTGGGCGTTTGCTAAATACTTTTTTCCCACACGGTTTTGATGTCTAGAAACCAATAACTTATAATTATTATTAGTTCATCTAGATTATGTATTTTTCTCACTTTTATATGCCAAAGATAGTGAATCTATATGTCGTAGCACTATTCGTATAATTCAATGTACCGCTGACCTCTCTGATGTAACATGCATGAAACACTTTAGTGTACCACMCCTCCCCCTGACTTGATTTGACTCTTTCAGCATTCTCGAACCAGTTCATTAGGCTCACAGAGTACCATATCACTCGCTTCTGCWGAGGTTCAAAGTTATTTTGAGGGTCAGGTAGGACTGCGCATGCGTAAAACGCCTTCGACCAATCCAGTCGCACGATTCCTCGTTCATATTCATTGTTGTATGTATATGAGGGTTTATTAAGTCGTCTCGGTGTCCATTCAGTCGTTCGTTGTATATTATATTCGTTTATACGTACATGGCTCACTAATGAATAATTAACTAGAGTCCTCAGTTTGGGAATAGTAAAGATAACAACGGATTAACCCATAACGACAAACTAATATTTAAAACGTAACCTCAAATAAACTTTTAAAAATAAACTAAATGAAAGCTCTAATTATTAATACTGTAATCCGTTTACTCAACAAATACCGAMATCAGTMCCATCTAATGATGGGCTTCCTGTGTTAGCAGAACACAGGYCACCCGGTATCAATATTGGACATGACATGACKGACKGACTGACTGATTCTCCTTCTTACTATGCTTTTCTCATGCGTTTTCACTTTTTCTTTGGTTTTGTTGTCAATTGATGGTTCTTATTTATGTAAACAGGCCTCGCTAAGCAACTTGTATTCATTTGAAATGTAAGGGTGTCGAATGTTCCAATCGAATTTTTAACTGCCCGTATGCGCAAAATTTGTACGTTTSTCGATACAGTTTCTCTAGTGCTCTCATTGTACGGCAGCTACTTGCATTTGATATCCTTGCATTATTATAGTAATAATTATCTGAAATTGTTGATCGAAGGCYSYATGATTTTCTGAAAATAACAAAATTGCATTGTGCATGTTTGAAGGGTTACGTAGTTCCATTGGAGACTGGTTACGAATCAAAACAACGAAGTTTAGTGTTACGAAAAAGGGTGGGGATGTTGAGATTATAGGGCTAATCTTGGAGTTACTCGTTTTTCGAGTTATGCGTTCGACACGCTCACTGACTCGAAGCGTGTAACGCAAAGATTAGACGCTCTCARTGTTAGGTGGATAGATGATGAACGATTTACAGTATTTTGATTAAGAAATGCTAACATTTTCCCTGCCAGCTTAATATTTTTATGTTGGAATACTTTACTTACTTTACATCAGTCTTACTGTACGTCACTATCATTCTTATGAAGGACTAGTTCCAAGTCTCCCACGGTCTGAATCCTCTCGAGCCCAGATCAGAACCATTTCAGATTATCGACCTTTATTTTATGTTAAAATTTAGATAGAATTCAAAGTGATTTAATATCTGATTTTATGTGATCACTTTTCACAGAACGAAGACTCTACTCAATCATATTCTGGTACACAAGATTTAAATCCGCCTCAACAGACTCAGTTTTTTGATCCCAGCAGCTTTAGTTCTCAAACTGTGCCATCGTCGTCGCGCCGTGGACGAGGGAGGTACCCTCGGTGAAAGGACGCTGGAATAACTTAATGAATCAATTTTTAAAAGTTGCCAAAAAGAAAAATTATAAAGRCTATGGAAAATTCTGTCTAAATTTATTTATTTGTGGTAATGAAAGAAATAAAAATATCGTAAATTATACATAAGTGTTTTTTGGGTTTCTCTCTTKCTGTTTGTTTTTGTTTTCCTTTTTATAGTGGAACACCTCCGTAYGACCACTCTCTCGATACTGCGTTAACGAGTAGATTTTTACGTTCCKGCAAATTAAACTCTCATACAAATCTGCCCGGTTAAAACGGACACCTCGTTRATACGGTAACTTTCAGATGACCATTCTGTGGCCGGATTAGTAAGTTACTTTACCTTTTTCAGTCTACYTTGTGTAAAAAGATAAATTTAACACCGCAAAAAATAGGCGAAATAATTGCGTCGGAGTAAAGGCGAATGATAACYGTCCGAAACGCCAGTAATATATTTCACCTATTTTTACGCTGTAAATTTATCTTTTTACACAACTGTTTCTTTAGAAACACCGACGCAGCTCACACTAGTTTACCKCTAGTTCCCGCCATTTTTTCAGTCTATGATAATTACTAGTTAAAAATAAGCAATCAATGTTTCTACAATAWTTAATCGTTTTCAATCATTCTTAAGAAATTGCAAAAGATAAAAGACCGGCGGCCATGTTGGAGGAATGCCTTGGGGGACTTGTGATYCCACAACAAGACTAAAAGGGACACTGTCAATGGCACGCATGCGCGAGTAAACTTGAAAACATTAGGCTAATGTTTTCAAGTTTATGACTCCAAGTTGGCGCAACATAAATCAGCTCGTAAACGTAAACAGATCTARAATATTCCAAAGTGTGTCAAAACCACCACAAAATGATTTTCCTCGAAGGTAATACTTTCAAAGTCCGTTAGAGAAGAGACTGTTACTGCGCATGTCATCCAATTTTTGATAATAAATGACAATTATGCGTTTCGGCAAGAAGTGTAAATAATAGCCTCCTCCACAGCCATCTCCTTTATTTCTTTTTTAAAAGATATCTGGCTTCCTTTGTTAAGAAAAGGAGACTGGGAGCAAGCAAATAGAAACAAGGGGGAGAGGGAAGGAAGTCAGCAAAGAGGAGACGCCTACTCCTTTCCTTCCTTTTCCTCTTTCTCGCCTCTAGTCCATATCCCTCGTTACCACAGGAATCCCAAAAAGGAGAAAAAGAGGAAAGGAGAAGATTGCGGATGAAGCTATCTAAAAAACTGGTTATAAACACTTATTAGTCACAAAAACACAGTTTCCACCATTTTTTGGTAGGTTCTTTTTTATGGCCTCCATGAAGCCTGATGGGAGTGTCGTTGACGTCTTTATGGTTTGTTACGCTCCTCAGATCCGATTTGATGTAGATTAGTTTGGTTATCTCTTCAAATACTTCCTGGACATTTTGACCAGTTTTTGCACTTGTTTCAATGTAAGGYATTCCAAGATTCTCTGCAAGTCCCTCTGCCATTTCCAAAGATACTTTGCGATGTTTCTTTGCATCAACTTTATTTCCCACCAAAATTACACTGATATCAGACATATCATACTGTGACTTAATAAGATCAACCATTGCAGGAATACTCACGTGGAAAGAATGTTTGTTTGTTACGTCAAAGACAAGCAAAACTCCGTCGGTATCCCGTAGATATATGGGAGCTAGACTTGAAAACCTCTCTTGACCAGCGGTGTCGCACACACTCAAACGGAACTCTGTTCCATACACACTGATGCTCTTGAAACAACAATCGATTCCAATGGTTGATCGCTCATTACCCTCATAGTAGTTATCGAYAAACCGTTTGATGATACACGTCTTTCCGGTAGATGATTTCCCAAGTGTGACAATCTTCAAAATTGGAGGCTGGTTTGAACGTATTTCTTGTTTTGCCCTCYTCCATCTAAACACTGACATCATGGATTTTTGGAGCCAGGCCACAACTTCCTCGGCAGTTGGTCTGTCATCACTATTGTCTTTGATACAGAGGAGGACAAGTCTTTTAAGTCTGTGATCACCCATCTGATGAATGTCATCTTTTCGACGCTCGTTTTCAGGAATACGTCGCCCCGCTRTTAATTTAGAGAAGAAAAGAACAGATAAAGATAAAAATATGTCATAATCACATTTTTGGATAATCGTAACATTGAATTATTAGTCGGAGTAGTCGAAGGCTAGGTCGACCTGAGTTTTACCTTTTAGCCAATCTATCTGTGTATTTTGTCGCGTTTGGACCACCGAAAGTTAAGCATTTAATAATTAACTATTGGGTTGGCTGTGTTATTACATGACCGGAAGCTCAAATGTATAGATGTACGAATATCGTTAGTAAATGTTAGATTCTACTTACTATCTGATGAAAAATTATTCGTTTACAAATGTGGTATCTKTGATCTCATCGGAATGCATCAGTCTAGGTATCATAAGTACGCGCATGTGCAGATCGCTTGGTGCTTCGAGTAGTATGCTTACGAAACTGAATCAATGACCTTTCTGCCGTTAGACAGTCTTGTGTGAGCAAAGATTTCAAATTAGAACAAGAAGAAACTTTGTTTATCAATAACAAAAAAGCGACTTTAATTATTTTATAGGCATCTTTTATTTTGTAAAGTATTTATTTTATTGGCCTGAGAGGTCAACGTATAAGATATCATTATGTCACTTAGCGACATTTTGTCTACCACGTTTGATTTTATCAGTCAAAGCAAGGATTCCTTTAAAACGTTCACTTGAAAAACGTTGTGGAGATTCTTCTGACTAGTAAGTCGGTTCATGTACAAAACACTTCGATAAGTATACTTTAAGAAGGTTCTTTTCTTTTTAACATTGCATTAAAAAAATTTGAATTATCGGTGTTAATTACATGACTTTTTAAGTCAAAGTCTCAAGACATCTTGCATAATTTGAACTAGACGCTCTTATTAGACCGCTATTAGACTATTTTGGAAAAAAATAATAAATATATATTTTTCTGGCTCGACATTTCTATCGTTTTGAAGTCGTTGCAGAGAACAGTAAAAAAAATATCATATCGTGTGAATAAACGGTTTTGAACCGTTAAATTAATTAAAGTGAAAGCAACGCATTCTTGCTTTCACTATGTAGAAGTAAAAAATATATATTCTGCGCCATAATTTGCATTCATATATAATCATATGATTAGACAGAATATATCATCATAATCTTATCGTGTTTAAAACTTTTCACTCGTCCACCTATACGCGCATCCATGTAATATCCTGTCTCTATCCTTCTCAAAAATAGCTAATCCGACTTCACGCTCGAAGAGCGTCTAGTCAATATGATAAATTGCACGTTTTGGTTTTCCCCAGAGTGATAGAGTGGTTTTCATTAACCCGTGAAACACACTTTAGCGTATTTATCACTATTACACTTTGGCTCTTTTGTTTTTTATTGTCTCTAGGCGACTATTAGGGACGGTCTATTTGATTTTTGTTGGGGGGGGGGGGGGGGGGAGAGTTTAAACCCCCCCAAAAAATATCGAGCAAGCTCTTCAACGTAAAAAAAATATCGTGCAGCACCAATATGGCGGAAAAAATATCGAGCATGGGTTGTACCGACTTTTTTAGAACTAAATGAAATATTCAACTCTTCCACTCCCTTCTTCGTAACAGGAGATGCCCCTCAAAATGCTGAAAATCGCGTGTCTTAGAGGGTTATTATTTCAAAATTTTCTTTTGCCTCCGTTACACCCCTCAGTCCAAAATATGTATCGCGGTCCCTGAGAAGCCAAGCCAAAATGTCCACACTAACCCCGCCTGTCTTCGCTTATCCAACTTTCAAATTAAACTTTAGATGTGTAGTTATGTAATAACAATGCAACATATATAGKGTTATAAAGCAGCAGGGGAGTTAACCCACCCCCTACAATGGTCCGTCCACAGTGACAAATTACACAGTAAAAAGAATATCGTGCAAGAGCTTGGTACAATATAAAAATATCCTGCAGTACTGGAGGGCGAAAAAAAAATTGGCGAGCACGATTAAAATCTACCCAYCCCCCTACTTACGATCTATTACACTCTAATTATTACACTTTGTTTCACGGGTTTATGTAAACCACTCTATTGCGATGAAATAMGAAAACTCTGATATTTTGGCTTTTCTTTGTTTTCAATTTACGTYAAAGCGGCCATCTTAGAGAAACTTTAAACAAAAGATTTCTCATTAGTATCTATTGTTCATTCCTCCAACATGGCCGCCGGTCTATTTTTTTTAATCTCATGGAAATGCTTTAAAACGATCAATAGACCCCTTGCAGTTCATGGGAATGCAGCTCCAACTGGAGGACAAAACAATAGATTTTAGTTCCCAAGAGGATAAAAATCTTTTGTTTTGTCCTCCAGATGAAGCTGCTTTGACGTCACATGCAAGGGGTCTATTGGAAGTTCATGGATCTTTCTCCAGGAATTGCCTCCTTCTAAGAAMTATAACTTTCTTTCGTTTCTATATCTATAATTGGAAGTTTTTACGTATGTACAGAATGTAGATATGTAGTCTTTCATGAAAAATTTAAAATCCCATATTTGTTTATTTATATGCGGAATTAAATGTCTTTGCTGCAAAGTCTTGTGTATAACCTGATATATGGGATCTAATTTCTATGGAGAATTCTATAAACTATGAGTTAACTCGCCATGACAAAAACTTTGGTCAAAGTTCAGGTTGGTGTTTTCAAAACAACGTTAGGGCCAGTTTGTGTGACACAAGTGCTAAGATAAACYTATATGACCCAAAACAACTCAACAAAACCTCGTGAAGGTGTTCAAATTGCAAATAATTGCTATTATGTTAGTATATATTTTGATGGATGAAAACTTTGTGGTATATATATCTTTTCTAATCCAAGCCTTCGATGACATCGCCGAGAATCTACTTTCGCTTTCATTCCTTGTAGCATCAGGTTAACAATGAAACAAAATAATTAATTAAAACTTACTCGTATCAAAAATTGATTCCAGGTTACTCCTATTGCCAATAATTGTCTCCATAAGAACAATTCCAAAGGAAAAAATGTCAATTTTCTCGTTATACTCCACGTTATTGGATGAGAAGGTCGGGTAGGTTGGAAACGTTTCTGGAGCCGCATAAAACTGAGTTCCAGGAACTGGAGATGCAAACATTCTTTCACTTCGTAAAAAGAATTTAGCGAGTCCAAGATCAGCTATTTTGGCCTGTCTTTTCTTTGTTAAAAGTATATTTTTACTTGCCAAATCTCGATGGATAATTGCGGGATTGCATTCGTAGTGTAGATACCGAAGGCCCTCTGCAACATCCAGCATTATCGACACCACTTCAGGAAATGGAATCTTCTTCGTCTGAACTTTTATATATTTCTCCAAATCACAGTCCATTAGTTCAGTAATAAGTGCAGGCCGTGAAGAACAAGAAATGTCGAATTGAATCAGCCTAACAACATTCTTGTGATTGAGTCGTTGTAAAAGTTCACATTCTTCTCGGAATTTGTCGATAATACTTTCATGAAACAATGACTCGTGTAGTAATTTCACGGCTACTGGTTTTTTGTTCAGCGTTGCTTTATAGACTTTTCCATAGCTTCCTGCTCCGATCTCAGTGTCCAGTTTGTAATTTGCTTTCATGTTTTGAACTTCAACAAYATAACCGCATTTTTCCGGTTCTTTATTGTTAAGCAATCGAGAAGTGCCGTATCTGTTACTAGATATCCCTATCCTTGAACTTTTTTGTCACGGGACGAAGTCCAAAAGAACGTGTATGTGCATGCACAGCATAATCTATAGATATATGCGGTTTACCCGGTAAACACACAATACCGGGAGATGAATTTTTCGGGCTTCATCTTTACTTCAAATCGCAAATTGGTCTTCTTACAAACTCGATTTCTATAAAACAAAATTTATTTTCAGAATGTATGATCATGATTTATTGTTTGGATTGATGGATGGATCTATTTTTAAAGCTGCATATTTACGTCAAGGTATTGCAAGATCATTTATTTATTTATAGTGTTTTTTTTGACACGAAGTAGGCCTTAGCGCTATATTGACGTCCAATGTCGAGGACAGTCAAGAAACGATAATGTCATGTGTAGTAAATCATGGGTACAACACACTCTAAAACAAACAAATGCTGAAGTTTTATACTCAGTATACTTTGAATTTTTAAGTCATCAATTTTTTTTCAGATTTTTTTTTCGGTGTAGATTTGTCTATCTAGACCGCCCTYGGTTAATAAGAAATAAGTTAAGATATAGATAGAATTTAAAGAGGTTTTCAGGGGCGGATCCACTAATATTGATTCTGCGCACGTTGAGGCCTTGAGAAATGAAACGCTTCCGTTTGTGAGCTTTATTGCTTACGTTACYTCATATATTACAATAAATTGTAATTTAACACAAGTAAAACATGTTTTATTAATTGTGCTAAAATATATCTATATTTTTTCATTGATCAGTCTATGGTTATCATTAGACCTAAAACAAATTGAAATTGAAATGAAACTAATTGGTGTTTTTTTTACGATTTTAGCGATTTCTCTTGACGAAGAAAGGGAGATTCATATCCCATGATACATTGCAAAGCCATTCAAAATGGCGGGCTTGTGATATGGACTATAACATGTTTCGTACATATTACGTTTGTCTTAGCTGATTTAGGTCTTATAGGATTCCAACACAAAATTGTCTAGAATATAACTTAGGTTACTATTTTATAGGTTTTCTACATTGCCTTGCTTGGAGTTGWTTGCCTTGATTAAGCCAAGTCTGTTACAGCTTGTGACTCATTACCGTCGTTTTTAAGGTTCAAAATTAAATTCTACGACTAGTCGTAGGAAAGTGACGTTCATTAAAAAATAAATAAAATTAGGACTGGAACTGGGATTTCCTCCATCAAATTGCAAGTTAAGTAATGGTGTGTGCGAATCGTATAAGGCTGCCGTGCGCATGTGTCTAGTACTAACGACATGTTTTGGGAAATCCTATGTACAGTCGTAGGCAAAAATCAAGCCTTGTAAATCAGCCATTTGGATCTGCTGCTAACTAGTAATCTACTGTTTCAATACCGTAACCAGAAAATTCTCGTTTAAAGTAGTTTGCGACTCGTGCTTCCGCGCATCATTCGTGCGCATCCAAGGGATCGATCGATGAAATGACGCGATGAAATAAGGGCTTAGCACAGTCTGAACCGTCTTCTGGTAGKTTTTTTTGTTGTCTCCTCAAGATGGATGTGAGTTTCGTTGACGGTCTGGTTTTGTTGATCCAGGTCAAATTTGATGTAGATGAGTTTAGTTAACTCTTCAAATACTTCCTGGACATTTTGACCAGTTTTTGCACTTGTTTCAATGTAAGGTATTCCAAGACTCTCTGCAAGTCCCTCTGCCATTTTGAAAGATACTTTKCGCTGGTTCTTATCAACTTTGTTTCCCACCAAAATTACACTGATATCAGACATATTATACTGTGACTGAATACGCTCAACCATTGCAGGAATGCTCTCTTCAAAGGATGGTTTGTTTGTTACATCAAAAACAAGTAAAACGCCGTCAACATCCCGCAAATACATGGGAGATAGATTTGAATACTTCTCTTGCCCGGCAGTATCCCAAACATTTAAAATGAACTCTTTGTCCCTCACCATGATGTTCTTGCGACAAAAATCTATTCCAATGGTTAATCGCCCATTTTCCTCATAGTAGTTATCGACAAACCGTTTAATGATACACGTTTTTCCGGTATTTGGTTTCCCAAGTGTGACAATCTTCAAAACWGGAGCCTGATTTGAGCTTATTTCTTGTTTAGCCTGCTGCCGTCTTTGCTGTAAAATCATGGATTTTTGGAGCAAGTCCACAACCTCCTTGGCGTTTGGTCTTTTGTCACTTTTGTCCTCAATACAGAGGAGGACAAGTCTTTTAAGTCTGTGATCACCCATCTGATGAATGTCATCTCTTCGACGTTCTCTTTCACGGACACGTCTTCCATCTGTTATTTTCAGAAAGAAAAACGCTAGTTTTAAGATATCTAAAAATATTACTTTATTACACCGAAAATAAGACACTTTGTGTTCACACGACGAACATACCGTTATGCACATAGTACATATTACCAATGTGATGTGTCTGTTTTTTTTTACATAAAATGCAACGGAAAAAATGCGCAATTTATTAGAGCTTAGCCATGCACTTTCGCTCATTTTTCGGTAAATGTTTACAATGAATGAGTATGACGTACCAGTATCAAGACATCTCAGGTTACATTCTGGATATTTGCCATTAATTGTCTCCATAAGAACGCAACTCCAAAAGAAAAAATGTAAATTTTCTCGTTGTACTGGACTACTGCTGCGGATTGGATGTCTGGAAGAGAAAATGATTTAAGGTATGGAAACGTTTCAGGAGCGGCGTARACTTGAGTTCCGGGAACTGGAGTTGCATCAATTCCTTCCTTTCGTGAAAGTAATT